TGTTTTTATGTTTTATCTCCATCTAGTTTCACAGTAGCAAACTTGTAGAATGTTAGTTCACAAAATCGTCAATAGATGTCGCTACAATGAACACTAATAGCAGTTGTATATGAGGGTAAAAGCAGAGGAGTTAAAAATTACCTTCGAATTGAGTTTCGTCTGTTATAACTATTACAGGTATGGGACAATGGGTATTTAAATTCATAATGTGATTTTTTAAATTAAAATAGCTCTACACAAACTGGTGACTGTCCTTGAGTGCATTTCCATAGTGCATACAGGAATAGTTTCCGGTTTGTGTGTACATTACATTTCGATGAAACTTGTCTAAAGGGTTGTTGCGCAGTTGCCTTCGGACCCTCGTACGTCTCCCAAATGACTGGGACCCTGTAGTCCCATGAAGATGGTAAAGACACACATGTAAACTAGTAGATGTAGGTATTGTAAATTATTGAAAAAATAGGACTCAGTCGAGTGAGCGTTAGCGCCAGTACCGTCTAGTATCGAATAAGGGGTTGCAGGATTCCCGGAGTAAGCAAAATATTGGCACTTTTTGCTTTTTCCTGTGATTTTAATGTATGTAGGTATTTAGGTAAATAAATAATAAATTGATTCATAGGGTAACTGTAATAATAGCCTACCAAATACCTACCTGTGTCATGTTAGGATGACCCAGCCTACCACCGATTAGTTTTATGGAACCAAGACTGGTCCTCGTAGTTATATTGAAAACTTTGACGTCTTCCTACTCATGTAGAGATTATAAGGCGTGACATTATGTATGATGTAGTGTAAATAAGTAGTTATGTCAAATTATTTTGCGGAGAAAACTGAAAGTGTTTCGAGTGCGGGCGTCTTGTAAGCTATTAAATACTAACAACATAAAAGGTACACTACACGTAGGTGTAATAGATATCGTACCGGCCAATATTCATGTTTAATTAACACTCATTTATGATTTATGATCGAGAGCAACTGTAAACACTTTCACATTTCCGAAGAAATCATATCGATGTGCATATTCTAAGGACGGGAAGGAAGAGTTTCTCTCCATCCTGGTTTCGTCCCTTATTGTCCGGTTCAAACCGGCCGAGTGCTGAAGCTCTAATGGAAGAACCTTTAGGAGGTACAAGTTTACATTCACATGCGTCCCGCACCCAGCCTCTCGCCGCCACCGGCCGACGGCGACGCTTCACTTACCTGCAGTTGATAACCAACCTCTTTGCCGTGAGCACGCTCCACGCTTCTCGCTACCGGTTTTGATCGCACCTCTAGTGACGTACGATTTTAAATTCGAAATTTCGAATGCAACGAAGTTCGTTAATTAAGTTTTCGAAATTTTAAATAATCAACAATGGACTCTGAACTGTGTGACTGTTTATTTTTGTAATTTTATTAAGTGTTTGTTTTTTTATCAATTATTATTTTTGTTTTGTTTATTGTACTTTTTTGAAAGTGTTAAGGGAGTGAATGTGATATTTTGGAAAAAGCCCGGAAGGACGGGTTGGCTCTTCGTTCACGCTTCCGTGACAGGTGAGTGTTTACAAAACCTCATTACCTGTATGATGATAGAAAATCGTTTACATTTCTGTTGACTATCCAACACTATCTATTAATTAAAACTTTAAGTCCGTTATCGTTAATTGGCGAATAGATTGTCATACAGGATCAGGATTTTCCAGTAATTTTCCAGTTTAACGCGGCATTGATATTGAAAACAGTAAATTTCGCTTCTGTCTAGCAACTTTCTATAATTACATACCTTAATACCAGTTAGCTATTTAATTAGATTCTGATTGAAAAGCACGACAGACATTCGCCAGGTACCTAAGACTATTTTCTCTTCATTTTGCGAAGAAAATGAAATTATTTTACTAAATCGCAGTTGTTAAAAGATATTAACAATTATTTACTTTAATACAATTTCTCCAAATACTCATTAAACTCGAGTAATTAAGTGAGATCATGCCATGATATGTTTGAAAGTTGAAGAAAGTTCCAAAAGTGGCGAAAACCGCGCGCGTGACATTATCTTTAAACACTAAGTGGACAAATATATCTCCATAAGTAGGTGATATTATAATTTGAATCTTGCACCTACCAAGACAATTCTTTTACACCGACTTTCTTAAAGTTCTTCAGTCCTCTAGGTAAAGTATCGAGTAGGATAATATGCTTGCTTTTCTAAGTTACATATTGTTCAGGTAATATTTCTAGTTCCAGGAACACGCGAATAGACTAATTGTCAGCATAAATGTATCTACTTATTTGTCTATTTTTTGCTAAACTAACAATACCTATAACAACAGTACCTACAACTAGATAAATAAATACACTTACAAAAGTAGGTAGCTCCGTAACTCATCCAAGATTTTCCTTTAGGTATTCAAATGGTTTTCTTTCGTCATCTTCATCGTCAACCTGTTTCTCTATACTACTAGAAATGGCTTCTTCAGTAGTATGACACTGGGCCCGATCTTGAGCTCTTCACAAACATTTGAAGTCCACGGTTGGTGCGGTGTTTGGCCAACCGACTGCCGCGCAACGTCTCGCGAATTTGATTCCCGCATGCAACAACTCTTTGTGTGATCTACAGATTGTTGTTCCGGGTCTGGTGGTGTATGTGAAATTGTATGTTTGCAAACGCACCCACGACACAGGAGGAAATTATTACTGCTACCAATTTTGCGGGTAGATTCCTACCCATAGTCACTATTACCACGGTACATCATCATCTATGTTGCCTATATGAACTACTTAAACGACAATTGCTGTCAAACAAAATATTTCGTGTACAATTTCATAGCATCCACGAATGCCATCATCACAACAAGAGATATTAGGTATCTTCAGAAAAGGAGTTTAGTTGTTATAAGGTCATCAACGCACTTGTCTCTCCTTTGGTGTTCCGGTTGTCCATTGACGTCTCTGTTGCTTACCCTCAGGAGATCAGTTTGCAGCTGTAGCCAAATGCCATTAAGCGCTTGTCTACTTGTAGAATAGAAAACCAAATTATATGGGATTGACGTAAATTTTGACACTTGTCAGTGTCATCCCCATACATTTAGTTTTCTACTCTCTCGGTATACAAACGCTAAAGTGGTGTTTGGCTAAAGGCCCTGCTCTCATTTTCTCTCGATTCCCCAGAATGTTTAACAAGAGGAAAATCTGGACTAACTATTTGATATCCATTCTATGAGCAGCACATAGGATTGGAAGAATGTTAGATGGAAATATTGTTTCAATATTCATGTATCATTTACCTTTGCCATTTTGACCCATGGCATTGTCGCCATATTTTGAGAAGAAGACGATCTTATCTAACGTATTATAAATATACCTTCTATAATAGACGTAATATGCATAAATTAAACAACTAATGCCTGTCCGAGTGTCCGTTGACTGTTGACCCTTGATCTGCAAAAATATCTGCGGATAGAATATAGAAATTATAAAGGTCAATTTAATATTATTACTCCTGTGTTTTTGTAAACTGATTTTCATTGGTGCATTAAGTTACGATCATCGTCCAAATGATTTGACTAACATCGGGTTGTTTGTTATGTTGGTATTGGTATGTTTTCTGGTGAAAGCCGATGTTAAACAACACTTGTGTTTTTTTTTCGTAATAACTATATCATGAAATATACTAATTTAATTAAAAATCGCGAGTTACTTACGTGAAGATACTGAGAAAAGCTCTACTAGTTTCGAACCACAGAGGGGTTCTTCCTCATGAGAAGGTTTTTAGTTAACGCTTGTGTTGTGTTTCGTCGTGTGAGTGAGGGTACTGGAGGTCTAGTTACCCCTCCCCACTCCGATCTCCTAATCCCCGAATCCCTAATTTCCTAACTCTCAAAAGGCCACAACGCTCTTTTATAGTTACACCTCTGGTGTTGCGGGTGTCTACGGGCGGTGGTGATGGCTTACCATTATCTTTATCTTGATTTAAACACATTATCTACATACCCAACAATCATTGTTACGTGACTGTTACATGCCGCATTCACGACTGAATATCTTTGATTTGTTACAGATTTTAATATTATAAGTTAAAATTAAAATGGTCAACTAATTCGAAACTTCAAACCGGAGAATGGCCGACAAATTACAATAGCTATTATAGGTACTTATTTAGGTTAATACTTATAACGATTTATGTATTGTGTTTTAGTATTGTAGAGAATAAATATGTTGAGTTTTGAGACGAATATGATTGCGGATGTTTCGTGAAAGTGTCGGCTGCTTGTCTGACCCCTGCGGAACCGGCTCGCTAGGCGACGAGGGTTTTCCATCTACAATATTAATATGTTGTAATACGTATATACTTTAGAGGTATGTATGTGAGTGTACCGACGTACTATCTTCATTTTAAGTTTTATCCATCCACCATCTCTTAACTAAAAGTTACTTAGCGTGACGAAGTACTTGAGCTAATCCCTTAGTTGTACTGTTAGATGACATTTACAGGTTAGTGAAAACCAAAATGTCGCTATTATGTCACCTATCTCAACTTAGGGGTTTCTAAATTAAGAATAGGATGCTAAAAACGGGTATTAGACTGTTATTTAGGTGTCGACATTGTATTTAATTTAGTTTTTTCCTATAGATACATACTTTTGTTTCGTAGTAAAATATTTTCATGATCATGTTTTAGGGAACAGAGAGTTAGTTTCCTAAGATCGGAAAAGGAGGATCCTCTGACCAGATGAGGTGATCGTGCCTGGCGGGCTTTCTGCCCAACAGTTGTTCGTGTGGATTTTCTACTCGTGTTAATTCGATTGTAAACTTCGCATGTGCGATGTAGGATTTTATGACGTCATCCATTGACATATTGACATGTGACATGTGTCGCCAATTTGTATAGTTATCTAAAACTCTTCCTGTCTTTCGTAAAACTATTTTTCGCTGACTATCTTTGGTATTATTAAATCCCATTGGAATAGAGGCAGTGAGCCCCTGAGATCTTTTGGTTGATAGGCACAGTTGACATCATCGTTCGCTTGAAAAATTAACGTGTAAAAGTGCTGCCTTGTAGCCTATTGCCAGAAATAAATTCGCTTTAACATAACATCACGCCTTTTATCCCCGAAGGGGTAGACAGAGGTGCACATTACGGCACTTAATGCCACTGTAAAATGTGACACCCACTTTTCACTATTTATGTTATGAGTCCCATGTAATATTTATGTTATAAGCGCACCCCCGCGCTTATTGCCATATACCGGGCACAATTCCAGACTCCGTGCTACTACTGAGAATTTTTTATGAAGCCAGTAGTACTTTGCCCGACCCGGGAATTGAACCCAAGACCCTTTGCCCGGCAGTCGCAGTTGTGATCACTCGGCCAACGAGGCAGTCAAATAAATACACTTCTTTCACTTTAATATCTAACGAGTAACGACTTACATAATTTTTAATTGTATTGATTTTTTATAATAGTTGATATTAGTCTCCAATTTGCTTATTCAATCCTCTTCGCTGCCATTTTTTATTCAGGTTTTGCCACTCAGAGAACAAGCATAATTTTGTTATTGACAAAAATACATTATGTTGTTTTAAATACATTTAAAACCGGTAATTCAGAAGTAAAATTACCATTTCAAGTAATGGCGTAACTTTATCAAGTTTCTTTGGTCTTAAGAAAAAGTAGTTGTACCTAGTTGTCATAAACATGTCCGACATTTAAGTAATTAGGTATCAAACGTAAAATATATCAAATGAGAACAAGATTAGACTCTTATTTCATTAGAAAAAGAAATAAATTGGTACCTTTCTATCGTCTGCCTCGTTGGCCGAGTGGTCGCAAGTGCGACTGCAAGGGGTCTCGGGTTCGATTCCCGGGTCGAGCAAAGTATTACTGGGTTTTTAAAAATTCTCAGTAGTAGCACGGAGTCTGGAATTGTGCCCGGTATATGGCAATAGGCTCACCCCCTATTACATGGGACTCATAACATAAATAGTGAAAATTGGGTGTTACATTGTACAGTGGCATAATGTGCACCTACTACTACTACCGCCTACCCCTTCGGGGTAAATAGCGTGATATTATGTGTGTATGTATGAAATGCTAAGGTAGGTAAGTACATCAAAATAATAAGATAATCACAATAAACACAATATTTACAGTTATTGTTGGCTTTTTTAGTGGATCGAACACATAGAAAGACAAGGTGTTTACAGAGAAATCTGGCGTCAAGGATTTTAGACTAGCTCCCTAGTAAATAACGTCAGCGAATCTGCTACAATCACAAAAACAAGCGAGACAGCCAGGCGGTCAGATACACTTTTATAATGTAAGAAAACATACTACTATCTATGTATGACTTTGCTTGTTACTTACCCAAGCATTTTGTTGTCAACAAGAATATCTTCATATAATAAATCGTAGGTAAAGCTAAGAGAAGGGTCTACTATTTCGTCCTTGCATACTTCTATATATCGTCCACATTCATGCAAAACATCATTAATCACTCAATGTTCAAATGTCTAAGGACTATTTTCCATTGCACATACATTACTGAAATAGTCCT